AGATCAGAAACTTCCTACCTAATTATGTTTGCCTTTTGCTAAATATTGCTTCATTTATCTTTAAAGGGGTCCTGTCTTGTTCCATGACTTTTCAAATTTCCATGACAGTAGCTATGCTAGTTGCATACAAATTATTTTGGCTTGATATATTTCATTTCTGTGTTTAACACTTTGCTTTGGCCCTATGTGTTGGTAAACCATGATATTTTTTGTATTATCACCATGACAAGACCCTGTTACTAGAGGTTCAATATTGCACAAGGAAGCATTGGAGCTGATCAGCAACTCCCATTGGAATTGTGTATAAAAAAAAAAAAAAAAAAAAAGATGATGTGTGTGAAAGGTAAAACTAAATAAATTTAATGCCAAGAGGAATAAGAAATAAATAGGAATCAGAATACAATATGAAGTTGTGTTAAAGTGGTGGAAGCATTCGATTTTGTTGTCAAGTTGATGGATGTTTGAGTGCACAGCCTCGCTAGTACTGATACTAGTGATATCAGTGTTAACCTCGCAGTTATAGTGATGGAATGGTTTATAGTGTATTTCATACGATACTTGCCATTTTTTAAGTTTCTAAATTAGTAATATAGCATTGGCTTGAAATTGTCTCCAATACTAATAAATTATTCCAACCATACTATTAATGATACTTAAACTGACACACATCTTCCAGTGGTAAGTTTATTTATTTTGATTGGGCAAGTTGACAAGTAAATTAGCCAATTATGATATATTATTTAAGTGATTTATTTAACTCTTCAACTCCACCTTTTCCAAACTTATTTTTTAGCTTTTGCTTTCATTTGTCATTGATACAGGTGACTGATTGGTAGGGTTGGGAATTGAAAAGATTTTCACGATTCCGATTCCCTTTTCGATTCTATGAAACGATTCGATTCTTTATCAATTCTTTTTTCGATTCCAATTTGGGGGAAAAAGGAGAACAAACAGTTTGATTATCAGAATCAACTTTGTTTACTTAACTATTGCACAATCTTACAAACTCAACAAGATCAAGATGTCCACAGGAAATGTGAAACTGGAGTAACATCTGCTTTTAAATGAAAAATGAATACAAGAACAAACTTAATAACCAACAATGTCTAATAACAAATGATGGGATAATAACCTATTTTAAATAACAAAAAATACTAATTGTAAAACAGTAGTAGGGAAAATTAACAGTTCTTTTGCAGAAAGATGAGCATATCTGCTTTTTCTGGAAGGATACAGGATCTTTCCGGGCTTATGGTGTCTCCAGCCGTGGAGAACACCCTCTCAGATGGGGTGGAGGAAGCCTGCACACAGAGGTAGTTTTCAGCCAGTCAGATAGCAAGGGCAGCGTATCTTGCTTGTTCCACCACCACAGTGTGGCGCTATCCCTGCAGGGGATGGAGGGCAAGCTTTTATAGAGCGGGATTTCCTGATCTACCCTCTGGGCTAAGGAAAGACGGGGCTTTGATTCACAAAGTGACCGCAGCTCATTGTCTTCCTCCTCGAATAGTTCTTCCAACTTGCGTAACTTACGTAACTTACGTAAAAAACGTGACGTAAGTCGTGCTCCCCAGAGCCGGCGCCCTAGGCTCTGGTGCTGCGGGAATCGAAAAAAGAATCGTTCAGCGAGCTGCCAAACGATGCCATGGAATCGGAAAATACGGAACCGGTTCTTAACAGGAACCGGTTTTCGACTCCCATCCCTACTGATTGGTGTTTGAAATTAAAAACTTTGCTTACTTTGTTCTGTAGAAAGACACTGTTGATAGTTATTTAACATTGCGTTCTGATGCAACCTAGTGCTAAATTTATTTTCAGGATAAAGGACACTACGTAAATGCTATCAGGATGATTGTTTGTTCTTGATGAAGATACATCTAGTTATTTTTTATTTTTTTATATAGTTCTAGTACTTCATTAGGCCCCTTTAAAAACATCAGTGCTGTATCCAAAAGTCAAGTTTTAAATTATAACTTTTTTTTGCTAACATACCCCTAGCCCCCAAAGTAAATACCAGTTACGTGTCAAAGACTAGAAAAATGTTCCATCAAATTTTGCTTCAATTACTACAATATTTTTGATCGGCGTTGAAATCCTTGCTGGCCGGGCCATTTTTGTCTGTAAAAGCTGTTATAGAGGTGGCTGTCTTCCTTTTTTTGCTTTGGTAGCAGGGGTAAGATGAAGATGTCGACACTCTGCTTTCAATACAGAGAGATCCTACCGCTTACCCCCAAGGCGTGTGCAGGCTTTTTTCAGCTTCATTACCTTTACAGAAGTGAAAATGGCCATGTGGTGTTGCATGGCCCGATGGTTAGGGCATTGATGTTGCACTGCAGCAGGCTTCATGAGTAAAACGGTTTCACTCCTTCACAGGTTAAAGTGACAAGATATAACTCAATAGATCTTATTTGTCAAATAGTAGATGTCTCAGTCACTTGCTGTAGTATTAATCCAGATTTTATAAATTATAATAAAAACTTCTCAAATAAAACTGATATCTAAGTTGAAATATTCAGAAATTAGATGATTTAGTCAGTTTAAATGCATCAAAATTTAAAAACTCTTAATTTAGTCTTAACTCCAAAGTTGAATATCTAGAGACATCATTAATATTATTTGTATAAATAATAAAGCTTTCATCACTTCAGTCACATTGTGTGTTTGCATCAATAAGCTTCCAGCATAATTTTTGATGGAAATTAAAGCACTTTTATTGTCAGAGTTCCAATATATTTCATGGCACAGCCCGATGATTTTCAAAATTATTGTATTAGATGGCCATTCGTAATGTAAGTGTTATCTATTCCATAAAAAAAAAAAAAAAAAAAATCTGTGTATTTTTAGGAACTCTTTCCCTATTGAAACACCTAAACACCTTCCAAACTATGGTCAATGCTAGACATTATTGGTTATTTAAGGATATAAGTAAGTACTTTTAGTACCATAATTACATTATTTCTAGTGACCTGGATGATTATCTAGTTGCACATGTGCAAATTACCTGATGGTATGGATCATGCTTCTGGTACGGTTCAGGTAGTGACAGGACCAAACACAGCTCAGGAAGCGGGTATATTCTTATTTGATGGGTCATCGTGAATGAAGTATTTAGGATTCTGCAAAGTGGATGCACTCTGCCTATCCTAACCAGCGCCACCCATCAGATAAAACTTCTCCTCCTTATTTGAGTATAAGAACATGAAATAAAATGATCTTAAAATAAAAATACTGTTAACAAAATAAAAGTCACTGAATACCTAAAGTAGCTTTACAAAATAAAAGTGTCACAAAATAATTCCCCATCATGAGATAAATAAATAATGAAATAAATAAATGTAGTAATTAATACATCTTTGAATAAATTAAATAGTTATTGAGAATTTATCAATAGAAGTATTTATTTCTTTATTTTATTTTGAATGAAACGGCTCTCCATACTGTAGCTACCACCACCATGCTCCACAGTTGGTTGGAAATTTAAGGTACTGTTCCTTTAAAGACAGAAGAAAATCTGCAACAAGTAAGGTACTGTATGTTGGTTCACTGATTATGAGCAAGATACTTTAATTTGTCTGGAATGGTTGGCTTTTTAAAATTATTTTTCCATTTTATGTTGTTTGAATTAATAATGTGAAGTTCTCATTTTCTTTAATGGGAGGCTATGCAAACGTTCCAGCACAACTGTGTTTCTTTTTGACCATATGTGACCATGAGACATCTCTCCAAAACGCTCTTAGCTCAAGATTTCAGCCAAACTCTAAGTTTTAGTTTTGTAACAAAGGGGTTTCATTCTTGTTGGCATCTTCCATTTCATGGCTGCCATAAGATGTGGTGGTTCCTGGGTTTTAAATGATTTCCATTTCTCTGACGGTAACATATCTGGTTTACAATAGAAATAAACAAAGTGTCTTAAAAATGACTGCAATCCTAAGCACACATCAAGTCTATATTTAAAGGCTTATGACAGCCTAGCATTAGGATCCTGGAACCAAATAGCTAAACAAACCTCTACCAGTTATGCTGTTAGTTATGCTTGATATTTTACCAGAATCATACTAAAGGCTCAGTGATGTCCACAAAAACCATTCCATCGGATAATGATTCATAACATCAGACTATTACTGAGGGTATCTATTAAAATATCCACTATTGTCTTTCTTTACTGATTTGTTTCAATGACAAAGTTATAAGTATAACTTTCAATGTTTTTTCTGTTTTTCTTTTAATCAAAATGCTTTTTGTTTCAGCATTTTGTGTTATTACTATCTCATAGAATATTTCTGTTCCAAGAGCGAAGGATGGTTATCAAAAAAGTCTCTCTTCTAAAATTGTAAAGTGACAAATAATTTAAGGTCTTTTTCAGTCTGCGCCATCCAGAACTGTGTCAAGATGTCCTGTCAATGCTCACAGGCCCTCATTTTCATTCACAGCTGCTCCACTTCTGAATAGCAGACAGTAATGAGATCATGCCAAATCTAAATCTAAAATTATCCGCCGTTACTCACAGGACAATAATTCACAGTCACACATACGGCATGCGTAATGTATTATGCATCTTTGCTCCGTCTTTGGCCACTAGCAACCCCACAAGTTCCTCGCTCACCCAAATAAACAGGCTGACCAGCAAACACAATGAATTACTCATGATTCATTAGCAATTAATGGACCTCGTTCTCTGCTTTCATTTCCAATTAAGGGAGCTGAGGGGACTAAATATGTTGTGTTGTGAGTGAGAGAATAAGCTCACAGTCATGCTCCGTTTTCTCCGCCTTGTAACTGCCTGTTTAATGTTTATTCCATCACCGGGAGCCTGTTTGTGCACATTGAGCAGATTGTTGTGCATGTGTGACGCTCATCATTTTGTTATTTTATCAAAACTTCTCAGAAGCTAAAGTATAGCCTGGCAGTACAATATTTTGATGCATATCTCACAAGGAGGAAAATACAGTTTTATGAGTTTGTCTCCTGTCTGCATTAATAGTTGTGTGTTACCTTTCTATTAGGACAGCACCGCTCCCTTGGACCAAGTTTGTCAAAAGTACGGAGCTTGAAGCTGGACAGCAGCATTTGGAGCAATGAACTTGTAGAGGTATTAAAATGTTTTTCTACATTTTCAACATGAAACTTTATACTGGTCAATAGGTAAATAAACTATTTACCCATTTAGAAAACGTTTCATTGTTATACAGTAGCTCTTTAAAGTTCACAAAGCCAGACTTAAAACTGTTGCTATGTCAAATATCTCCAAACTTTTTCAATGTTAATAGGGCATCTTTTTTGGGGGTTGGGGAACGAAGGGGGGAGGGTGAGATTGGAGGTATGAAAATAGCTTTATTAACTCATTTTCATTAGTTTGAACTCCCCAAAGTAATGATAGATGGCTGCAAAATAAGTTATACTAAAGTAAAACTTTATTTGAAATTTTAACACCTTTTTTAGGTGGTCGTTACATCTTTTTTGTTGAATTTAGTTCTGGATTCTGACCCGGCCTTTCCAAAACTTTTTATTTTCCTTGTTAAAGCTATTGTTTATGTTAATTTTGATGTGTGCATGTACAAAAACTTGATTTCATGTAAAAACTAAAGGAGTTAATCCACTAGGGAAGAATATGCTATTATAGGTTATTTAACATGATGGTGCTGCCACAATCACATTTTATATTGGGACCTGAGTTTTAATTTGTCATATGTATTGCTGTTTCTCTGCCTGATTGACAATGTGGCTCAGGAATTGGTATATGGACAACGTAGGGGAGTGATTCACATGAAAACCAAGTACTTGATAAAAACTTCTTCAGCATTACTATTAGCCTCAATGCTCACTGTAATGTAGGCTCATTTGTATTCTAAATATTGATAAGTCTTCTCTTTGCCCTGTTAAGGTATGACATTAAATCTTTTGGACCCCTATAGATTTTCTGATTGATTGTAACCTCCCTGCATAACTACATAGAAAAGAATGCAAATGTGAAGGAAACCTTTAGGGGACATCTCAAGCTTATTCCACTATATTTGATGACTATAATTAACCCAAGAAAACTCAATGCTGAAATGAAATCAAAATAGGTTTTTTAACAGTTATTTAGCTTAAAGGTGTTCATATCTAATATAACACCCCTCAGGAGAAAGGCCCTATGTATTGCCTATTCAATCCCTTTACATTTTAAGCTCCGATGCACATCTGTTGTATTATTGGTTGAAAAAGTTTGAAAATTAATTTACATTCCCTGCTTTAAGGCTTAACTTAAAGAACTTTATTCATATTCTGTACCTTTCAGAGAGCTGCCATTTAACAGATAGATAAAATATATATTTCATTGTCTAGTTTTCACACAAACTAAGAGAGATGCTTTTCTCGTCTAAACATATTGCCTGTGCATCTTGTAGCTCTTCCTGGAAGTGGGGAACATGAATGCTAACAGTTTCTGGGCTGCTAACCTGGTCCTAGAGGAGGAACTCCACAGTGGGGCCTCGGCCGAGCAGCGTGCCTCTTTTGTTCGGCGGAAGTACAGAGAGAGGAAGTACTGCAAGGTCCTTGAAGACTTTAATGACCTTGAGGAGCTCAATCAGGTAAGCACTCCATGGGGATGGAGCAGAAACCAAACCCCCTTACAGCTTTTGTATGCTGTTCCTCACTGACTTTCTTTTGCTCTTGTTTAATTCTTTTCTTCTTATCAATTTACACTTAAAAATAAAACCTGCCATCGTGAGTTGACTTCATTATTTCAGTTTTATTATATATTATTTAATGGCATTGATTATTGTGCCCTTCAACATAAAGACTTTTAAAAAGCCTTTCCTCTTTCCTTTTGGAGGATGGACAATATAGACTGTGTACAATTAGACATGGTCAAAGATGCAATATTAAAGGACAATGATTGGTGTACAATGGCCAATATTACATGTCAAAAATAAGGTGGTATTTTCTCTACCTAATGATTAACCCTAAACTATTATTTTGGAATATTTTAGAGCTTTCCACATATCTGCAAAGAAATCTGTAGGACACTGTTGGTCACATTCTTACAGCAAGAAGACATCCAGTAAGATGTCTGTAAGAAAACATAATGGTTTAATGTATAAAACATGTCACTTTGTTTTGTCATAAAACTGCCTGAAATAATTCTCCTTGTTAATCCTGTTTTTAAGGCTTTCATTTTACCATTTACTTGTTGTATCACTTTAGTTAAGGTTGGTTATAATAATCTAGCTTTGATAGCTAAATTTAAGGCTTTAGGAAAAACTGGCCGGTGGAGTGTATTGCATTTAGGCCAGAAGAAACTGGAAACATTTAGCATGAAATATGCAGGGGGGAAAAAAATGGATCGATTATGTTATGGTACTAACAGCTGAATGAAAATGCAAGATCAGACTAAATTACTCTCTGCAACCGGCTGAGATCACTGGTCTTCTTTGGTCAGACCGCCACTGCAATTCAGCTGCAATGTCATGAGTCAGACAGAAAGAGAGATATGCAGGCAAAGTAACACACATCTGACTTATGGTAAACACAGAGTAAAATCTCTATATCACAAAGTAAAATACTCAGATTTATCCCATTTGGAGAAATATTGATTGGACATATGCTGTATGATCATTAACACATTTCAACGAACAGTGTATTTTACCCTTGCTAGGAGTTTGTAAGAACTTCGAATAGAATCTGCAACAGAAATGTTTGGTTTAGCTGTTTTTTTTTTTTATCTTCTGCAGGACTCTGTTCTTGTGTGTGTATGTGTCTTTGGGCAGTGTGTGTGTTGGTGGGTGTATGTGGGGGTATGTGAACATGTGTGCTGCCCTACTTCAGTAGTGTGAATCTTCTGTTCCTGAGGGAGTTCCTTTCAGGGTGGAGCGGGAGAGAAGGTGTGACACAAACTGAGAGTATTGCTGCTTCACAGGGTCAGTCCTGTTGAGAACGCAGTGTGTGGCTGTGTGTGTTAGGAGGGAGCCAAACTTAAAGATGATGTTAGAGAAGTACTGAAAGTGTGTGAGTCCATCTGCTTTTTCACCACCCCAATTTGTTAACATTCAGTGGATAGTAAAAATGAATGTATGCAGAAACCAAATATACTTCTTCTCTTTGCTCTATTGCATTATCCCCTTTTTGGTAAGTTCAATTTTGGTCTTCAATATGTTCAAATGCAATTTTTATGAGATGATGAGAGAATAAAGCAGCCCCTATAATATAAGAGTGGTACAGGAGAATGGAAAATGTGTCTGTCATATAGCAAATACAATGAAAAGAATCTCTTGGAAAATATTAATTCTCCTACAATATTCCCTAAAAGTAATTGATATTTTTCTGATGTAAGCTATTTTGTATTGCGGTTATATTTTCTTTCTAGAAATGAACAATATTAAAAATTGATCCTTATTTTACAATCCAAATGTTCATATTTGATGATCGCAACAAACATTGCAACGTTAAGTTTGATCTGAACCAAGTTTCTTTGTTTTGTTTTAAACAAATATAGAAAAGAATTAGAGAGCCAATATTTAGACCATACCTGGAAATTTGTTGTCGCCATGGGGACGTAATTCACCACCTCCAGACAGTGGTGTTAAAAGTATAATGTTTATTACTCAAGTAGAAGTATAAATCCTACTTCTTTAAAACTTTTTTGTAGAAGTTAGAGTATCAACTTAAGCTTACTACTCAAGTAAAAGTGTAAAACTACCTAAACTACAAAAGTAAAAGTAATGCAGGAAAAATATATTTAGGAGAGATGCTTTACCGGACTACCCTATTAAAGGAACATTTTTCAACAATTCTGGATGATAACTTCCTTATTCTTATTTCTTTTTTTTTTTTGTTTTATAACTAATTGGCATCGGTGTAAAATTTACCTTTGCATCATCTTGAAATACTATTTATTTTGGTATGTAGAGAACTACTAACGGTACTTGCTGCATTAGAGTCCAAATACAAAGAAATCAATATGCTTGTATTTCAATGAAACTCTTGACTAGTTCGTCTCCTAAATGCCTTCTTAATCTGTCTAATTTTAAGTAATTTCACTAGACTGTTTCATGACATAGTCTCTTATGTAGATCTATTAATTTACTACACACTTAAGTTTGACTTGTGTACAGTTTTTGGTGAATTTTTACTGATAAGTCATTTACAATCTGGTAAAGAAAAAGGCTGCTTTGGCAGACGCCCCTGTGTTTTCAGCGTTTATGTGCATATATTTATGTACAAAAACGTGGGGTGTACTGACTTTTGTGCGGTTCTATACATTTTTTAGTGTACAAGATATTTTTCATTTAATATTACAGGATTATACTACTACACAGTGAGAACTAGCCAAGACTGTGACTGTGAAGCACATAGGGATTGGGGCAGGCAGTAAGGTAACACTCCAGAAATGGGTTGCAGGCAGAATACTTCTTACATATCTTTGCAATACAATAAAGAAAAACTCATATACTCATCTTAAAAGGAGCTTAGCAATTAGGCTAAAAAGGAAAGAAAATACACCACAAACAAGGACACTGAGCCTAATCTCACTGGACAAGTTGCTCTACTTCTGTGTCACATTTACTTACTGCAAGCATGGATATAAAACACTAAATCCTATATAAAAACTGTTCCTCTGGGAGTCTTCTGTTAAATGAATACAATACCACACCACAATATCTTCAGTTATATTCTTATGAATAAAGAATAACTAAAGAAACAAAAAAAAAGAAAAATCAGCGTTGAGGGTCACTGAATTCCAAAGAGAATACAGAAAGTCACCGATTTAAGATCCACTCGCTGTGGAACTTAGCAAAAAATATTTCATACCTGAGAGTTAAAAGCATGGTTGCAAACACAATGGGTGAGTGCATCAGTTGATGTTAGTGTATTATCTGTTTCAGATTGTAGGGACAAAGAAAATGTATGAAAAATGTATGAAAAAACATACTTCCCAATCTTTCCATCTAAAAACCTTATTCTTCTATCTATCCGAAAACCAAGATTTTTCCAGGAACCAAGGTGTTTTTCCAGGTTGGATATGTAAAGATCTCTGGAGGATTATACCTTACGTTCACTGTGAGCTCTATGATTTAAATTGACATTAAAAACATGCATTTAGTAACAAGATGAACTATGATTCTTAAATAATTATGGTATTTGGAATTGAACAAGTTATAGGTAACCTTCAAAACATGCTTACATACTCTCAAACCATATTTTTTTTATTCTTTCAGCTATAATCATCCTTTCTTTATCCTATTTTCTCTTATTCTCATGTTCACCGTTATGCACTCTTATCCCATTGACCTCAACAAAGTCTCGACGGACCACATGACCTAGAGACGGGGTGTCAGAGGAACTTCTGATATCACTGTGCACACACACTCACTGTCTCTAGTGGCTACAGTAATTGCTATGACACGGAAGGTCATTTCCAGAGACAATACAGAATAAGGCCGGCCTGCATGGGACTGCTTTGCCCAGATCCGACACCATCCTGTGTGTGAGCAAAAGAGATAAAGACAGAATTAATTTGGCTTGTTGTTTTCCTACTGATGAAGATGAATCAGTGTTTGCAGAAGCAGTGCACTGAGATAAATGAAGCTGCGTTTGGAACACCCGCGTGCTTTGAACACCTTTATCTACAAGAAAGGGCCCCCGTGTGCGTGGGTGGGCGGGTCTTATTGATGGAGGACTTTTGTCTGCACGTCTATATGCATGGCCTTACTGTCCCCCCTAGCATTCAGACGGATATTGCTTGTTTGTGGCAGATCGATTCAGCCCACTGGCCCGGCCACAGTTGCGATGAAAGGCAAAGTTGTTAGTTGAAATTCCGCCATTTGCCTCTCGACTCCTCTGTTGATCTACTTTGTCACAGGTCATTGAGCACAATGTCACATCAATTGACTGCACAAATAGAAAGAGACAGACGGAGGTAGAAAATATCTCCCTGGATCAGACTGTATTCTTTTGCTCCTTTTATCTACCAATCTAAGCTCAATCATTGTGAGAAAAAGGTAATTCTTTTTTTAACAAACCATGAACACTTTCCCAGACATTACACCCACTCGGAAATTCACTGGCTTCAATGTTGAGAACATACAGTAAAAACTGTATATGTCTGTGAAGTTATAGCTGCTCAGGTATAAGTATTTTACCATCGGACAAATTATTACGTGAAGTGGAGTATAAAGAAAATTTACACATTTGTTTGAATGAGTAATGCAGGTCTTGATGGTATCAAGGTCCTCTAACATCCATTTTACAGCTTGGAGTAATTGTTTATTGGTCTATTACAGTAAAAAAAACAACTTAATCACCAAAAACTACTTTTACATTTGTGGTTGTAATGCCATACATCAGCACTGTACCATGAGGATATTTCTGTATAAAAGAAGAAAAAAAAGGCTTAAATTGTGAAAGTTTTTTTTTTTGTAAGTTTAGCAGGCTGCTCAGTGGAACAGTGAGTAGCACTGCTGCCTTGCAGCAAGATGGTTCTGGGTTTGATTCCTGGCCCGTGGTCTCTCTGCATGGAGTTTGGATGTTCTCCCGGAATGTGCTTGGGTTCTCTCCGGGTACTCTGGCTTCTTCCTACAGTCCAAAAACATAGCTGTTAGGTTAATTGGCTTCTCTAAATTCTCCTTAGGTGTGAGTGTGTGCGTGAATGGTTATTTGTCCTGTTTGTTCCCGTAATGGACTGGCGACCTGTCCAGGGCGGAACCCGCCTCTTGCCTGTAGACAGCTGGAGATGGGCACCAGCACCCCTTGCGACCCCGCTTGGTATAAGCGTGGCGGAAAATGGCTGGATGAATGTACATTTAGCCACTTTCTAAAAGGGGCTCTTTGTAATTTAAAGTAGAAACTCATTTGGTTGATTTCTCAGTTTTTATGGAGCTACAAATGTACAAATTCATGCCTTTTTTGACAGCATTACATATTTATGGAGGTTGATAAAGAATACATACCTAATGTCCTTGCTTTACTTTTCTTGTTATGTTTATTAGCTTCTTGCTGTGTATATTTCTCACACTCTTATGTTTGTACTTCATCCTCTGCTCATTTAACCTAGTCTGCTGCTTTCCTGTAGCTCCCTTCATTGTTTTTCACATCATTATTCCCATATTTCTCTTCTCTGGAATTGTGTGTTTCATTATAGTTAATATGGCCCATTTGTATTGTTCTTATTTGCTATATTGCTTCTTTTACAGGGATCAGAGCTTTAATGATTCCCATGGGGTGTGTTAAAGGTTGATCATATTTTAAGTTCTCTTTTGAGATCAGCAAAAGGGAGTTCAATTCCAAACATTATGTGGTTTAACTGATGCCGCTTTATAGACTCGTCACCCTCTATCACCCCAGTGTTTTATCATAGACTCGCACACTAAAACAGGGATGTTCCACCTAGATAGCAACACGCTATGCTTACTTTTTATTGACTCTTAAAGCTGCAGTCTGTAACATTGAGAAGAGAGCAGACTTCGACTGAAAATTTGAAGAAAAACAGGTTTCACTCCACTCCCCCACCCTCTCTGCTTCACTCATGCCCCACCTCCAAGCTCCACCCCTCTCACAGCATCTGCGCGGCTACCGCATGCGACCACGAAGGGCGGGGGGGGCGGGATTCAGCGTGTGTGAGCTGTGATTGACACTCCATCAGATGCTCCTCTGGCTGTGATTGGTTGTTTTGACTCGTCCCGAATTATTCTTTCCAGATTGAAATACAGGCAGTAGGCGGTACCAATTGAAGCAGTTTTTTTCACAGGTTACATATCACATGTACTGCTGTCTGGGCATAGGGACAGTTTTAGCCAATATGACAAAAAAGTGATTTTTAAAAACTTACAGACTTCAGCTTTAAGCACCTTATCTGGGTGAGGATTTTTGCTGATACACATTTTAACAGCTTCTTAAATTCCAACTATTCCACCTACTTTCTATCATACCAGTAAATGAATGTGAAAAATGTTGGAAGTAATTGTTTTCAACTGTAAAATGTAAGACTCTTGATTAGATGCTTTGATCTGGAACTAGGCTTGTATCACTGTGTCTACACATTGAACTGTTTAGTATGCTCTGCATCTTTTAAAGAAACATTTCAACGGAGAAGATTCTAATCTCAATACCTCCAGAAGCTCTGTATATAATCAATTCCTCTCATCTCTAAATCTTAATGTGAACAGGCGCTGTGTGCAGCTGTGGTTTCGTCTGACGTGCTGCAGACCATGGAGTTGGTGTTCAGTGGTGCAGATGTTATGTGCGCCACCGGAGATCCAATCTACTCCACTCCTTATCTCTTGGCTCAGCGTGCTGGACAGAAGGTTCAGATGGAATTCCTGCATCAGAACAAACTATCTGGTATGTTGTTTTTCTAATGTCATTTGGGATATCATATGGGGCTTTGGTATTTAATCCATCTAGAAAAGTAGTGGTGAGCTGATATTTTGAACCTTGGGGGAGATAAGAGGGTATGGGAAAATAATTGCTTCTCTACATTAGTCTATCCAATAAAAACTGGAATAAACAATTATTTATTTTGACAAAATATTGAGTCTATTACAATGGTTTCTCATCGTGTAGTTGACAATGTCCATTAATCTGGCCTTCCATCCATCCATCCATCCATCCATCACTCCATCCATCAATCAATCAATCAATCAATCAATCAATCAATCAATCAATCAATCAATCAATCAATCAATCAATCAAATTTTCCTTCCCCTATCCGATCATCCATCCATCCATCCATCCATCCATCCATCCATCACTCCATCCATCAATCAATCAATCAATCAATCAATCAATCAATCAATCAATCAATCAATCAATCAATCAAATTTTCCTTCCCCTATCCGATCATCCATCCATCCATCCATCCATCCATCAATCCATCCATCCATCCATCAATCAATCAATCAAATTTTCCTTCCCCCATCCATCCATCCATCCATCCATCCATCCATCCATCCATCCATCCATCCATCCATCCATCCATCCATCCATCCATCCATCCATCCATCCATCCATCCATCCATCCATCCATCCATCCATCCATCCATCCATCCATCCATGTTACTTATTAAAGATGAGGGGAGTTGAACTGATTTTAGATCTGATCGCTGTGGGACCATTGATTCTTTAAATTAAACTTTGATTACATTTTTTTTTTTATTTACATAAAGCATACTTCTCTGGTTATATAACTTTACTCCCATTTATTAGGGACCATTTATTAGTGACTTTGTGCACTTCAAAAGAACATAATGATTCATGACACAATTTGACTCCTTTGGCTCTTGGGGTCAAATAAATTGCAGGTACAAGTCTGATTTAGCCCCCAGTTCTTGAATTTCACACGTCTTAAAGACTGTCACTGTAAAATTGTTGGCTATAACTATCAAAATTACCCTTGATTTGTTCTTTTTGTTTATTGACCTGTTTAGTATTTTTGGGTTATTGTAGCAGCGTAACAATCTGTGTTGTAGTTATTCCTAAATTGATGCTGTTAATAATGACCAAGACTTCTACTTGAAGCAGAAAAGTTTTTCCATGGTCAGTATTCAACCCAGTAGAAACGCTGTGGCACAGAAGGCAGCTGGGAAACAGAATAGTTGATATTCTCCTGGCAAGACCTGAAAAAAAAAGGAAATGTATGTGGTGTTATGAATGTGTAAAAAGACCTTGAAACTAAAAGTGCAAGTTAGTCTTCTACAGCTGCTGCTGGCACACACGATCTGTATTTTTGATATGTTAACATGACAGCCATGTTTTAAAATTTGTTCTCACTACTGTGCGGGTTTGTACATTCACAGCACAATAGCGTTTTTTTTGTTTTCGTCTGTGACGCGAATCGAAAATGAGGGCCATGAAAAGCAACACATTTGAAACAAGGGAGTTTTAAGTTTAAAGGTTTGTCTCGCAAGTCACTGCCTCTGTCCTACATTTTCCCCTGATGCTCCTTTGTATTACCCACCTCCTGTTCAGGAGGCGCGGCACAGACGTGGCTTCTTCCTGATGGGGGTGTTCTGTTTTTGCACTTCCACACTAGGCCCATGATAGGAGCGGATCAGATTAAAGGCGGCTAGGGCCAGGTGGAAGACTTTCTCTGGGACTGTATTTTACATAATGCATGCAGTGCATCTGTTTATACTCGCCGGCACTGAGGCTGTTATGGACTCACTAATTGCTTGCATGGGTCACCTGGTCACCAAGGAGATGGCAATTATCTGAGGTGTGCTGGAAGACACACATGCAGAAAGAAGACCATACTAAGGCATTTTCATGTGTATGAGAGTGTCCAAAAGAAATGGGTAGGATACACATAGTCGGTGTGCTCATTATAAATCTGGAAGTTGTTGGGCTTCATTGTTTACACAGAGACAAATATGGACCTAACCAGACTTCTGCTGTTGAGGAGGATGTTCAACTAAAGTAACATTGTGTAGCCAGGAAGCAGTACCTGGGTCAGGGGACCTGAATGTTAGTCTGACAAACTGACTCCACTCTTTGCCTGCAGGGAGATGTTGCCTCAGATGTAACTGTTAGTCTACCACTTAAAGTTTGGACTGACCTTAAGGAAGCAACTCTTAAAGTAGATGCTAATCAAAAGTCAGATTCTACATTATATACAGGTGTCTTGCTTACAGTGAATTTTATATATCACCTTTACAACAATCTAGCTTATTTAATTCAAGGATATCATGGCTACATTAATTTCCATCATCACAATTCAGACAATAGTGTGGTTTAAAAAGAGCAAAAAAGCAATCAAGTGAAAAGCAGCTTAGGATAACAGCCAAGATATGCCAGAGAATGATAACATACTCTTATATCCACCAAATACATAGTAGTGACAGTAAGAAAGTCTCCTGTTTGCGTTTAAGTTTATAAGATGACAATTATAAAATGGTTTATACAGACATTAGTATGCGTTTATGTATGTATGCTGAATACACACATGCCTACATGCATGATTACATGCATATTTTATGCATGGAAAGATAAACAGTGACACATTTTAATTAAAAAACTAGCAGAGAACCTCAGTAAGACTTTTAGTTTACTTAGTTTTTTATTTACTTAGTTAACTTAGTTTACTTTACTTTTGTGTAAACATTCAATTAAAGCAATACAAAAAACAAAAAGTTTGGTTGGACTCCTTGACCGGATAGTATACCCCCTGAATTAAACTTTAAGGATAAATTTCTACCTGTCTTATTTCCAATGTATTGTGAGGCACTAGGTAGTTGCCCTTTCCCCCTCTCTTGCCAGCTATAACACCTTTGTTAGAAACATGGATTGCATAGATCCTTTATAAAGGGGAAGTTCTTCAGTTGCTCTTCCGACCAATGGATTGCCCTTTCAACCTCTTCGACAAGGTTGTCCAATGTTTCCACTACTGTTTACCATTGACATTGGGCCAATAGTTATGGCTGCTCATAAAAATGCAAACCTAAAAGGTGTAAGGACTGTAAATGTTGTTCATTGTTAAGCTTTATATGCTGACAATGTAATTCTGTTGTGTTTTAACTTAAAATAAATTTTAAAAGAGGTTGCTGGAGTTGATCAGGTCTTACCATGTTTTTGGAGGTCACAAGATCTTTCACAAGATCCCAGCAACCAAACAAGAAACAAATCAAAAACCCACAATACTCAATAAAATGTCAAATAAAGAAGGGCTCTTTTGTGCATTATTATATATATATATATAAAAAAAAAAATACCTCAAATTACAAAAACAAAAGTCGAAATACTGTCCAAAAATTAAAGCATTATTAAAGCATTGCATTGATCTTTACTAGGGATGGAACGGTTTATGAAAACCGTCCGAACCGTTCGGTTCGACTGTCTCGGTTCGGTTCGCATGTGTTGCGTTCGGTTCATGCGCTGCTCCTTTTTCTCATAGGCGACGCTTGTACACTCCAGTGCAGAAGGTGGCGGTATTGCGACCAAAGCCAACCCCCAGTAGGTGGTTGGCTGCTAGCCGGGTGTAGCAGGGGAAAAAAATCAGTTGTTGTGGAGAATTGTGTGGGTATGGCGAGTGGGAAAGAACAGGAGTAGGAAGAGGCGCCAGCAGCACTTTATATGTCTGCTGTATGGAACCACTTTGCATTTAGAGTCACCTACGATGACGAAAGTTGTGGATAAAAACAGTATGCAAGCATTGTGCAACATGTTTTGTTTATGCTAACAGCAACACAACCAACATGTCAGGCTAACAATCAACATATACCGAACCGAACCGAAAACCATGACCACGAAACGCTGAACCGAACCAAACCGTGGATTTTGTGAACCGTTCAACCCCTAATCTTTACATGCTGGGAATTTTAAAGAAGCACAAACAGTTGTAAAATTGAAGACATTTCCAAGTTTAGAGAACACCTGCAAAACCTCTAAAGAAAATCATATCACATCACAGGGTATTAGACCGTCTAATAACATTTAAATAACGTAATAACTAGCATCTGTGATTTCACTCCATCTCCATTACTTTTTCAAACGTCATCGGCTTCACAGCTGATTAATTTAACATTTTAATTGGTGTGCGGGGCGGCGTTGACATGCAGAGTTTACAACATTCTTCATTTTGCAGCGAATTACTTTTTAGGAGGTAAAATAAGTTTGTACTCCTACATTATCAATTTTTTGGCACGTCTTACAATACAAATAATTGCCATTTGTTCGACGTGCTTGATGTGAAATCCAAACCGCTGCCATATATTGCTTAGCTAAAACACCTGCTGTCGCCATATTTCGTTTGCCGGTTGCTATAGTGTGTGCCGCACAGAAAAACATCCTGTGTGGAGGAGGGGTTTATGATGCATTCAAAGCGTGTTGGGGAAAAATAATATTCTCAGTGAAATAGATGCAGACTGCTTAATGTCATCATGCAAATTTGTACTCAATGGTTATGATCAGAGATGGCAAAAGTACTCACTTTCCGTACTTGAGTAAAAGTACAGATACTTGTGTTAAAAAATACTCTGGTAAAAGCGGAAGTACTGATTAAACTTATTTACTCAAGTAAAAGTAACAAAGTACAGGCATGTAAATTTACTTAAAGCATAAAAGTAAAAGTAGAAACCACTTTTTTCATGCCGTTGCCTACATTTTAAATGGATGTCTGCCAATAGGACTAGATCTCCGTTGTGTTCATTTTCAATCATCCCGTCGTCCATACTACTATGCTAACGCCACCGCCACCAAGCTGCAATGATTTGCCGCAAATGAATACCGCCGAATCTGTCGATTCATCTTGTAGTGGTGCGTCAAATGCAACGTAGATTCCCATCCAATTAGATTGAATTTGGTATTGAGGACAGGAAAAATAATAACGGTAACTCCATTGAAACGAT